CTGATGTTCATTGTCCGGTGATGTCTGGTGAGCTCTTCACCTCTTCTATGGGCCCTCATGCATGCTCATTCAGTAATAGCGACCCGTTGATCAAGCGTTCTTGGACCATGTCTTCGTTCCAAGCTGCGCGAGGCGAAACTAATCTCAGATATTAGTAGTAGATTTGCGTGGCCTCTGCTGAACGGCTGTGTGACCGCGAAAACCTGATAAGAAGCAATGACTGAACATCTCAGTTTTAACCAACTTTCATATTATTGTGTGAATAACACTAAAACATCCTCTCAGCTTTAAACGTGGTTGGTGTCGTCCTTCTAACATGCTGGCGATTATCAGGTCTACTTGCTGTGGATGTGCTCGGGAATCTCGTAATGTAATCGTCTGCGTAGTGAACCTATCTAAGCTCACGGGCACAGAGGCGTGCTCCGCGCTCATGGCGTTCGCTGGACCCAGACGGGAGACCAGGTACAATGATGTCACCAGTTTGTCGCTAACATTATTGTGTAATCTTGTTTCTTTCTTAAATGTCCACTGAAGGCATTTCGGCCTGTTCAGTTTAGCCAATGATATGTAAAGTAATGCACTGCTTCATATTCAGGCGGTGGGTCTGTGTTCAGTTCTGCCGGAACACAAGCCTACAGAACAAGACACCACAGCAGCTTCGGGAACGAGCGGTATGCTCCAGGCAATTCAAGCCCTCTGCGTTCCTTTATCAAGTAGGGCTGCGTCCTGATGCAATACCAGATTATTTGACGACTGAAGGTAAGCACGAAATCTTGCTTTCCTTATTACTGAGAACATAAGCTTATTCAGAAGGTATTTCACGTGCAGATACTAGGAACTTTTTCAGCGTACATACCACTTGTGTTTAACTTTGCAAATGAACTTTGCATAGGCGCCGGAGATGTCCACAGCAGCCCTGGCCAATTGATCAGCGAGGGCAAGCCCACACCGGCCAGCAGCAGTAGCACCGGTGGGCCCACATTATCACGGTGTCACACGCATCGCACTACCAAACAAGGTAAAAGGAATTGTATATTGGCGGAGAAGTGTTGCAGGTCATGTTTCTTGTACATTTCGGACTGTCGCGTAGTAGCCATCCTTTCTATGATAGAGTGTGTTCCCATTACTTGTGCTTTCTTGCGAAATGTGCAAAACATGTATGACCATCTGTTTAATCTAGCTTGTCACTTGCCGCAGGAACATCTGAAACAATGCAATGACTGATAGTTTGACAGATTTTTTTTATTTTCCTCGTCATTGCTTTGCAGATATGGGGAGCAGTCTCATGGCTCTGACCTGTAGCGCGAAGACTAGCCCTCCAACCAGAGTTCATTGTAAGCTTTGATTGTGTGCATTGTTTAGGGCAGGCTTTGAAGATTAATTTGTTGCATAGTACTTGACCGTCTATAGCTGATTCAGCTTTTCGCAACCACTTTGCCACTTTGTTTCTTTTTTTTTTTTTTTGTAGTGGATCACACATACGCGATGGATGGACATAGTCTTCCTCCTGGAGAAAATAATGTGTTTCTACCAATTATGATGCTTCGGTGACTTCGACTTCTGCAGTTTCTCACCAATGTAGGTATCTGTCATGATGCACAAAGCTTACTTGTACTTCCACATTTTCTACTGTGGAGCCTTGCACCTTTCATTGTTCCTCGAAGCGTTTCATAATTGCTTTTGCTTTCCCCTTCCAGGGACCTGTGCCACCCGTACCGAGGGCAAGGGGAAAATTAGCGTGTTGAGGGCCAAACTTCAACAACTTCGGAAGCACAACAAGAGACTCCTGCAACGACTGCAGTGACGGCGTCATATGCTGACTGGCACTGAGATAGTTTAAAGGGATACTGAAGCGAAACTTGAAATACACCTATTGTGGTCAGAAATAGGTTTAATATGGTCAATGATATCCGTAAATCATAATCGCGCGTTTGTATTTTGAACGGATGGCTATATTTTTCACCTTGAAGGGCCCGATTGGGCGCGCTCAAAAATCAGCCATCGGAGAGCGCGATGCGTCTTGGGATATTGGGGGCATTCGTGACGTCACTTGTGCCAGACGGGAAAGGCTACGGCGTGGCTGTTGTGGTTACGAGCGTTGCCACTTGGTGGCGCGTCGACGATTTATGACCTGTGACAGCGTGGCCGTTAGAGATGTGCAAGGGCTGCACGCAGGCTGCACCACGGCAAGTCGGCAACCACGACACCACTGACAAAACCAGTTCAGAGGCCGGATTCTCAAAACGAGCTTACGACGAAAAAAGTGTGTATGACAAATTTGAGAGAAAAGTCGTATTCTCGAAACGAAAGTGTCGTAACTTTTGCGCAGGTTACGACAGAATCCTATGACAGCTCCGCAGCTGTCTTTCGCACTTTTTACGATCAAATCAACATGACCGACAGCGTCGCTCAGTTAGTTATTAGCGACGACCAATGGACATTTATTTTTCTACGTGCTCTTCTCGTGCGTCCCGACTTCAACCAGCAAGAAAAAAGGAAGGAGTACTTGAAACAGACCACGACGATTAAGAACGCAGGGTCCACAAACACCCGAAAAGAGCTATAACGGCCACGGTTCTACCGACCAAGCGAGCTGGGCAGAACATAGTAGGCCTTGCAGCAACACCGACTCGGCGCACCGTTGCTCCGGCGGTCCTTGGCCAAGACCGTCTACCCATGACCGGCTGGCCTGCTGAATGCAATATGCCCGCATGACCCTTGTGGACCCTTCCCGGATGAATAGTTTGATCCCTGAACTAAATTTCAGAGCTCAATCTTTTCCCTTTGTCATATCTGGATCTCTTTGTTTTCGGAGACAGCGGTGACCAACGCTGTCGTCGAAAAGGGACTCTCATTGATTATATCTCCTTGTTTTGTGTGATATAGAGCTCAAATAAACGCCATACGGATTATCTTCGCAACATGGTATGTACGGTTTGTTATTAGTATGCTATTTTTATTCTGACACGACGCTAGGTCACTGTCGAGCTATAGCAGTTCGTGGGAGCTACGCGATGTCGGTCCAACCTTTCTTTGCCGAGTGTCATGTCAGTATCGAGTTGCAATCGTAAAAGATCGGTCCAGAAGCGCTTACCGAAACGCGGTCTAACAGAACGAAACCAGCACTTCGATCAAACGCCCGTGTCCGCTCCGTGTGTGCACAGGTATTTGCGTGGCTCTTGCTGACACTCTCGTAGTTCAAACATATTTTTTTAACGTCGGCCCGCAGCTCGCGACTCGCAGCAACTTATACCGGCCGTGCGAGAAGCATGCTCGGGTCGTGTCGTGCAAATATCCACAACATCCACAACGAGAACGAGCTCACTGTGGCCAACTACAGTTTGGCTTTCTCCGCCAAGGCTTTGCAAACGCGTTCAGGCCTTGGCTAATTCTGCCGGCACGCCGTATTGCCGCAGAACGGCGCTGCTCCTATGCCACATGTGATGTCACGAGAACTTCCCAAAATCCACCAGATGTGAATTTGAAATCGTTTAATTAGGTTTAAAATTAGTTCTCCTGTGTTTTACAGCGCGATATTGATATTTCCGAGGTGGTGCCTGTCCCTAGCTCATATTCATGCAGAAAGATTGGCGCTAAAATTTCGTTTCCGTACCCCTTTAAAGTGTGCGTAGCCTTGTGTCTCTATCCGTTGCTGCCCTTGTGGAAGCTCAGCTGAAGATGAGCAATGAAAGCAGGCTCGGCAGGCAGTGGTGCAGCCAAAACAAAGCCTTTGCCTTGGGCTCGTACTTTCACAGCCCTAAGCGTTACCTTTACTGTAGGCAATTGTTGAGGCTGCCATCTGTTAAGTCGTTACAGCTTTGGCTTCAGCGTGTTCCCCTGAGGGTTGTTTTTTACCCAGAAATTTTCGAACTTGTCAAAAGACGTGCAGCTTCTTTTTCACTAAAAGACAAGCCATGTACCATTCTCTTTGACGAGATGCACGTCACGAGAGAGCTCTTGTACAACCCCTGTGTAGACAGGTTTGAAGGGCTCGAAGAAAGTAGCACTGGAAGAGGCCGTAACCTCGCAAACAAAGCTTTTGTGTTTATGGCTAAAGGCATTCGCACACCATGGAAGCAGCAACTTGGATATTTTTTGCTCATGGGGGAGCACCTGCCAACATTTTGCGAGATCTCCTTTTCCAGTGCCAGAAATTGCTTGTGAAAGCCGGTCTCTAGCCACTAGCTGTCGTATGCGACCAAGGGAATCAAAGTGTTGCTCTCTTTAATGGCATTGTTACCGCTGAGAAGCCCTACATAACTGCGAACGAGAATCCACTTTTGTGTATCTGATGTTCCGCATCTGCTGAAGTGCACGCGAAATATGTTCTTCAAGTGTAATTTTCAAGTTGGGAACCACACGTTAAAAAGCTCTTTCCTCAAGAAAACGTACGAAAAGACAAACAGCTTTAAATCCGATCCATGCCCAGGCTCAATGAAAAGCATTTTAATTTGACTTTTGCCTCCAGGATGTGAGTGAAACTAGCAGCACACATATTCCGTAATCACTGTGCTGCTGCAATGTTTGCCATAGTAACTTTTCAGCAACTGCCTGTTGAAGCTATCCACACGGCCCGGTTTAATGAAATAATGGATCGCCTTTTGGGTAGCCTTAACAGCTCACAGAAACACGGTAAGGGTGCATATAAGCCTGCAATGCACGAAGGCTCTGTTCACAAAGAGTTTCTAAGGGAATGCTTTCTCATGTTCGAAAGCCTTAACGTTCCTGGGTGCCCGCGGTAGCTTTCTTCCATTCGCGGTTTCTGCTTGACCATTCGGTCTGTGATGCTGATTTGTGAGCACCTGACATCTAAGTATTGTTTTAGATACCTTCTGATTCGCCATCTCAACCAAGATGCACTTGAAAACACATTCTCCGTAATAAGGTCGAAGTCTGGTGCGAACGCCAATTCCTCTTGCCGGCATTTTAAGGCATCCTTTAGGCATCTCCTAGTTAGCAACTTGTTTAAACAGTCCAACAAGAGCAACTGCGAATAGGACATGGCAACTCTTTTAGCGGCTCTTCCGATTGGTCTCTCAGTTCCCTCACCTACACTGAGTCTGGGAAGCTCCCTTTCACAATGTGCAGCTGACCTCACATCCTGTAGTTTTCCCTCTTCATTATCACTTCACAACATGATTTACTTTGCTGGGTCGCTGGTGACAAGGTTTGTAAAATTCCATACATGTCAAAACGTGACTCGGCAATGTGAATTGCAAATCAAGAATGCCACTTTTCCGGATGAGAGTCAACTGTTGTTGTATTTGAGTGTGGAAGGAGCGGCTGAAGGAGACCTTGGAAGCCTCTCAGTTCTTTCACCTTGCTTTGTTTCCTTCATTCAAGCTTGTGAGAAGGTTTTTATGACGTCAGTTGACAGTCTGGTCTTAAAAGAATGTGTTGGAAAGGCGTTGTGCATCACTCTTCATGAGAAGGTCGAAAAGCTGCTGACTCTCAGCAGTGAGGATGTCTATAATGATTTATTTCCTTTGTTTGCAAGGGTGCGGCTTCATTGGTTTGCCCGTAAACAGAATACTGAGCTCCTTGATGCAGCTGTGAGACGAAAAACTAAGCAACAAGTCCAGAGGCTGTGCAGATAAGACAACACTTCTGTTATGCCCACAGGAATTGCCTTTAGTTTGTGTTATATGTTCCATTCAATGCTCGCGCTAGCATACCGCGAGTTGTGGCTAAATCTAGTTACGAGTTCTCAACGTGAAAAGGGCAAGATAAATGCGGAAGCGTGCCTCTTGTTGAGAGTATTGTGCAAGGTTATTAAGTGCGTGCATAGAGTGGTCCAAACCTTCTTTCACTGTTTTTAACACCATATCTCTATTTTTAAGTGTCCTATGGTGGCGTTCTAAGTTCGTATATAATAAACTGTGTAAACCAAGCTACTGCCGTTTTGTCTTTCTTGCAGACAAGCCATAGGTATAATAAGAAGTGTGCCTTGACAGGCGTGCTGTAACACCCTTGTAGGACCCTGCTTAGTTGAAAAGGATAGTAACTTATTGGTGGTTCCCAGAACTGATAAAAAAACTGGTTCTTTTGCAAGAGGAGTCACATGGGAGTGATTGATACAAACAAGGCTATGACGCGTGAAGCAAGGTATGAAGGACGCTACTTGCGCAGACATGTAGAACATCTAAAAAAAACATTTCAGTTTCGCGCCACCGGCGAAAATCATTTAATTTCACGCCAAAAACAATTGTAACGTCACAATCATGAGGAAATTGCGTCATTTCGTGTTTCTTTTTAATAAAGCGTCACTTCCTGCACGTGGCAGGCGAGCATGACTAATGACATTGCCACGCATCTCACAGATGGCGCTGCGCCCCATGAGCCGCCATCTTTGCGCCTATGGGCTTCTATGGAAGCTTCGCTACCATCTATGCATATACCTTGTAACACTCGCAGGTGCCTCCAGTGAGCAGCCATAGCAGGCGCGTTGGGCCCTTTGTATCCGAGGTCGGCTCCCCACACTCCGAAACGCGATGCCTAATTGACCGGCGGCATCAGCTAACGTGGACTTCTCCCTGCGTCAGGCGACGTGGACTTCTGCATAAATATATCTTACTTCTCCATCAGAAGGAAGATATATTTACGGAACAGTGGAATATTTTTGCGTAAAAACCACACTGTATTTGGATTGCAATGTAATAAGCTTCATTAATACTGGCTTGAAGCAATTAAAAAAAGGAGTATATGATAATTTTAGCATTTTTGATAGTTTTGTTACAAACTATCTCGTTGCTGCAGGTGACTGTAAAAATTCTTATTGACATCCCTGTTGGTATACTGCACAAAAAAAAAGGTTTCAGTTCATGTAATTTGATATCATAAAGAAAAAACAACTATATTTTTGCTAAATTGCGTTTTGCCGTTTCAAGAGCCGTCAATTCTGCCATGATATGGCCCAAAGAAAAATACGAGACATGGTTTTCTTTTCAGAAGAGTTTACTGCCTTTTATTCTTGAAGGTTTCAATAAAATAATTTTGTTTAAAAGAGCAAAAAAGACATTTTGAAGTTGAGCTCTGACGCCGGAACCTGGGGTCGTTCGTTGCGCCTCTACTCTGCACAGCATGCTACCGTCGAGCCTGGCAAAGCGTGCGACGGCGTCAGGGAGTGCGTACGCAGGTAGACAGCAGGACCTCAAGTTGTTAGGTACATCTTGGTGGGAAGAAGCTTTTTTCCACTCCTGTTGCTTTATGGATTTTCCTATTTCGACTGTTTTGCGCTGCGGTGTCCTCTTGTGGTCTTCCACCGTCTTGATATCAGCAGATGCTTAGCGCTGACGAGTCAGAGCATCCACTAGTACTCTTGCTGTTTCTTACTTACACATCGCAATCACTTTTTGTTTTCAACGTCACCCCTATTTAAGCAGCAACACGAAACCCCGAGAACGGGCAATCTCAAACGACGAGACAATGTGGTGTTAAGGAATGCGCGCCGTTGGAGGCTCACGCCTCGTTTGTGTTTAAATCGCCTTTCAAACGGACAATTCTTGCGTCGCTGAATAGTTCCGCTTTAAACCGCAGTATGCGCGACGGTTAGATTTCACGGCGATATTGTCGTGTTTCCCTTTTAGAGAAGTCCACGTCGCCTGATGCCGCCCGCCGATTAGGCATCGCGTTTCGGAGTGTGAGTAGCCGCCCTCGGATACAAAGGGCACAACGGGTCTGTTATGGCTACTCACTGGCGGCACCTCCGATTATCAACACGATGCCCGCCGTTTCTTCCCTTGCAGCCGGAAAGCCGGAAAAGGGGAAGCGGTAGAAAACTCAGTTCTTTCTTCGGACCTAATCGTGCCAGCTATCGTCGCCGGTGGCGTGCTGTGCGGCGAAGAGGCGTTAAAAAGCAACGCCGGGTTGGGGTGCGAGAGTTCCAATTCAAAAATTGTTTTCTCGCTTTGAACAAAAATTTGTTTGATGAAACTTCCAGAATCAAAAGACAATCGATTGTTCTTCCAAACGCAGTATATTTTGTATTTTTACATGGACCACTTCACGGTAAAATAAACGGCTGCTTATGCGTCAAAACGCACTTTTTTTGCAACTTCAGGTTTTTTTTTTTTTTACTGTGAGATATTTAATTGAGAGGTTTAAACATTTGTTTTATAGATTAAATGCCTGCAGGGCAGCCAGTAAATGGTTCTATTAGGTCCCCGGAGGTACCAATATTTTTTAAAGAAATAAAAAAAAAATTCAAATTATAAAAAGTGTTTTTAAAAAAATTATTTAAATTAAACAAAACTTCACAAGCCCATCCACATTGCAAGTCGAAAGGCGTGCAGATTAAGAAAAATATATTGTAGGGTGTTTCATAAAAGAGCTGATTTTTCATAAAATATGGAGTGATACCTAGTTTCACGCTATTTTTAAAAGTTAAAACCACGCTCACGCCATCAAAAGCATTTTTTTTGTGAAAACTATTTTTGGGCATGGCTACAGATATTGCGGCAAAAGGCCATTTTTTTTTTTTTTTTTTAGAAATCGATGGTGGTCGAATGCAACGTTTGGGACGTTTGACATGGAATGACCCTGTTATACGATCTTTGGTACCTTAGTAAATTAGATTTTGATATCATGTTTTTTTGATCAAGTGACCACCAAGAGACCGTGCGATTTAGGGAGCAAACATTTTGTTCGCACGTTTTTATCAGATTTAAGAATATTTTGTGTAGTATAACCATTATTCGATCTATCCATTCCGGTGAGTAGTGTTTATGTGCACAGGTCTTAAACCAATCACCTTGTTTTATAAGTAATTCTATTTTTAGTAGGTTTTTAAGGTTTTTATTTTTTTATATCGTTTTCTGATTGTAGAATTCAAAGGCAATAAAATTATGATCGTTTTTTTTTTCTAATACTTTCCAGTATGTCACGTTATGAGCCAAAGAAGGGCTTACGATTGAAACGTCTATCCATCTTTCTTCATTTACAGTAGAAAATGTAGAAATGGTGTACTGGACGTTTAATTTAGTAGTTCTTGTGTTAACACAAAATTATTTAATATTTCCCCACGATCATCATCTATTTGTACTCCACAATGGTGTGTGTTACATTAAAATCTCCGGCTATGATTATGTCGTTTCTATTTATTTTTATGATTGACTCAAGACGTGTTGGGAATGTATTAAATAGTATTGTAGAAAACATGTAGACATTTATTATTGATACAATGTTTTTTCAACATGTACATTGTAAGACGATTAGATCTTTTTCAAATATTTTTGAAAAGAATGAACAAGATTGGTCTAACTACAAAGGCACATTTGGGGTCTGTATTGCAGTGAAACGTGGGTTCCGAGTTTGGAATACTTGGAATCTGGTTATCAAAAACATATGGATCTTGTATGAGAATAAATTCAGCGTTTGTTCAAGCGTATATTTTAACAAGATTATTGGTGGCAGCCCTTGAACTCCCTAAGTTAATTTGTAATATCTCTAATTTATTAATCATCGATAAAATGATGTTTGTTTTTAATGATGTGCGTTCGCTTTATAGATTTTACTCGGGCTGTTCATTTTTAATTTCTTTTTTTTTCGATAGTAATGTTTTTGTTATTATTAAACATGTTTTTATTTATTTTGGGTAGTCTATTCGAGACTTGAGTTGTGAAACATAGAATGCGGGTGTACAAGATTCACTTGCTCCAAAAGGGTGGTTGGCATTGACCCTTCGATTGCTACTTGCGCAGCATGCACCCTCCCCGTAGTTTGCTATTCTGTATTATTATGCAGTGTAATTGCCCGCACAGATGGAGCAGAAGATTATCTGTGATGGACATTTGACTGCAGTATGTCGGTAGATACAACATTTGTCGCACATTGGGACATAGACGTTCTTTGTCGCGTAACAAAATGTCCAAAGTAATGCACCTTTTTTTAGTGTCTTGTATTCCTTGGTACTCCCTTCAAAATTGTGAGTGTTGTTCCCCGCTATTTTTTCCGAATTAACCCCCGTGATGGAAGTCCGGAGGTTAACTTTCGATCTCTGTGTTCTGTTTTTGAAGTTTGGTGAAAAGTTCCGCAGGTAGAATGTCTGAGTCGACGCCCGAGACACGGAGTTGAGGTCAACGTTTTGTCGTTTTTTTTTTGTTTTTTTTTTTATAGCACAAACAAATCTTTGGTGCTTGGGCGAATTTCAATTACGTCTTGTAGGTGCTGCAGTCCTTCAGCTGATGATGATTTTGCTGCTACTCCTTCTCTGATGTCTCGCACAGAAACTTCACCCAGTCCCAGGCTGTGCGGTTCAAAGTATTTCTTCTATATTACTCTGATGTTGTTCGATGCCTTCGGTGCTGGAGTTGGGAGATTGATCAACATTGCAAGATCCATCCGCGCAGGTGATCGCTCCGGTCTGGAGGGTTGTGGTGTCGCTTGTAACGCATCTACAGATGGTTTCCCTCTTACCCCGTTGGGACCGTTCCTGTTCCCTCGCAGCACGTCCGCTTACGTGGTGTTTTTCTCTCGTTCTGTAAGCACTGCTCCAAGAGCTGCGTTTTCGCCTTCTTGACGCGAGCTAATGCTCATTAGTTTCGCAAGAAGTTGTAATATTTGCGAGCCAGTTTCTTTGTTTATCCGAGCTTTATCGTAC